CTGTCTCTCTCTGTCTCAAAAATAAATAAACATTTAAAAAAATTAAAAAAAAAAAAAAAGAATAGAGTTGAACATTGCAGGCTCAAGTGTAGTGCCAGGAACACCACACACACACACACACACACACACACACACACACACACACACTCCTGGTATTCTTTAAAAATGCTCACCGTATCATTTAATTTCATATTTCCTTCTTCTACTTAAGAGAAAATAACACAAGCTAGGAAAGCAGTAAATATGTAAAGAGAAAATTTGTCAACTGATATTGGAAGATCTGACCTTGGTCACACATAAATCTCTGCGACAAGGGCTGCAGGGCAAGCCATCATTCCAGAGAGTAAAAGAGAAAATGAAAGCTATTGCTGGTGTCTTCTCGAAGTTACATAGGTGGATCATTTTAGTTTCCTGACTGTGCTTCTGCACATAATGTAAAAGGGCTGGTGGCCAAGCCTGCTTTCCCGCTGTGTGTACACATCACCTCTGCAGAGGTGGGCGTGTAATGCGGGGTCCCCAGAGTTGCTGTTTATCACCAGAGCCGTTGACTAGATAGTTGAGGCCCCACAAGTAAACTTTTGCATCAGGAGCTTCCTTTCCGGGATCATTTTCCAAAGCCATTAGTCATGCTATGGGAGCTCTTCTAATTGCCAGCTATACAGTCCTTGCAAGGAAATATGTGACAAATGTTACTGCAGTAACACCCCACAACTGATACTTAGGCCCGCCCGTTATGAAGTCTTTCCTCCCCATTTAAACACACAAGGATCTGTCTTACATCAGACTGAGGTGTCCCCTGTTAGTGTGCCTTAAAGCCTTATAGCTAAGGGCTGGCAAAAGGGGGGAAAAAAGGCTATGCCCAGAAGAGAAAAGAGGTTCAACTAATTAGCCTCTATCAAAATGCTGCTAGTTCTGGAGACTGATTAGCAAAGTGTAACGGCTGGAGCAATTATTGTTCTGTTCATTGTCCCAAAGTACTAGTTAGATGTAGACTACTCAACACCAGCAAAATGTGCAAACAGGAATCTGGACTTGGACGAGTTAGTTATAAACAGCATTTCCTGTGTTGTGAGGTACAGGCAGTTCATCAGCCCTAACAATATTATTGTGTTCCTCTGAACTCTGCTCTCACAGCTCAGCATTTGGAAGGCAGACCTAGAATAAAGAGAGGCATTCACAAAGCTAACATTTTATATCAAGCACCCTTAGTACCACTTTTAATGTGCTATAAAACTAGGGGCTTCACTTTTTCATGAACTGTGTGTAAAAGCAGAGGCAGTGACTGGAGGTTGACTTTGTTTCAGTCTGTTTTATGGTTGCTGTGCCCGTACGGTAATGTGATCTTGAAAAAGGTAAACAACAAAGAGTTTAGCAGTGAAAAATAAGCCTAATATAAATACAGTCGGGTACATGGCAATTCAGAATTTGAAAAATATGACCGTGGCATTAAATTTTCTGGTGGAATTAAACAGAGGAACAGAATATAACCTTTAAGGCAATATATCTGAGACCAAGAAAGGAAAGAATATATCTAACTCTATGGTCTGTGTGGCATTCATATAAAGAAAAGCACAGTAGCTTTATTTAATTGAGAAAATGAATCAATTACAATGATGTTGTGTCCTCAAGTTCTCGCGAAATAGAAGATATAAGTCACCGCATTGTGTAACAGTGTTAAAAAGTAATTGAGTATCTTAAGCATTTTGAATCAATTTCAGGTACTGGCACTGCTACCTTAATACAAAATTTATGAAGATGATTTCATATAATATGTAGCTATCAAAGCTGTGTAATAAAACCTGGTAACAACATCTCTCTTTAAAAACCTGGGCAAAATGGTATAGTTAGAAGATCATAAAAAAGACTCTGATACTGCTGTTTCCCTCTTCCTCGTTGTAAGGAGAAAGCATTAAAATAGTAAAATTTTGTCTTTAACCATGGTTTCTTTAACCCACAGAATAGGGCAAGGTGGAGACCTCTTAAGAGTTTAGTTCATGAGGAAAAATGTATCTCCCCTGAACTCATCTCATACAACTTATGTATTGCTGGGAACAGTGACGCACAGTTTATTCCTGAATTTATTTTGAAACATCTCACTTAGAATGTTTGCCACATGTTTTCCTCAGAGAATGTTGTGATCCCCCCTGACTGTTGGAAATTTGTGAAAAACACTCTCTTTGCCAAAAATGGATTTCTAATTTGTTCATTACAAGTAGCCCTCCTGTTGAAGTAGATATATCTTACTAAGAATGGAGGGTAGGGGGGAGAAGATCCATGTGTACTTGAAAAATAAATAAATAAAAGCCAATCTCCTGTTGGGAAGTTACCTGGGCCTTTCATGAGTTTTGAAAAGGAGTATGGCTTCTTACTAAAATCCTTAGCCTCTCCAGGGTGGTAGTTAACCCTCTCTCTTCCTTTTTTTTTTTTTTTTTTAACTTTTTTAACATTTATCCATTTTTGATAGAGAAAGAGTGAATGGGAGAGGGGCAGAGAGAGAGGGAGACACAGATCCGAAGCAGGCTCCAGGCTCTGAGATGTCAACGCAGAGCCCGACATGGGGCTCGAACTCACAAACTGCGAGATCATGACCTGAGCCGAAGTCGGACGCTCAACTGACTGAGCCACCCAGGCACCCCGTTTTTAAAAAAAATTTTATGTTTATTTATTTTTGAGAGAGGCAGAGAGAGACAGAGAGACAGAGAGAGAGTGTGGGAGAGGAGCAGAGAGAGAGCACAACACAGAATCTGAAGCAGGCTCCAGGCTCTGAGCTGTCAGCGCAGAGCCCGATGTGAGGCTCGAACTCATGAACCATGAGATCATTATCTGAGCAGAAGTCAGAGTCTTAACCGACTGAGCCACCCAGGTGTCTCTCTCTCCCTTTTTAAAGTAAATCTTTCCCATCAGAGCATTATGCAGAAATACTCAGTGACTAGAGGAAGGAGCAGTAATTCGGCATAACGTTAAGTGGGAACTACCCGAGGAGACTACGAGCCAGTCAGCCTGGGACAGAGGTTTCAGGGAGTGGTGACTGAGTAGAGCAGGGATGAGTGGGTGCCATGTTTAGTTGGGATAATACACAGGAAAGTGCTTTCTAAAACACTCAAGCACTGGTGAAAGAAGGGTCTGCTGAGAAGCCTCATAGATGCAAAAGAAATGCAAAAACATAGTTTCTGCCCTTAAGAAGCATGCATTCTAGTTGAAAGGAACCCACCTGCCCAAATTGATTATTTACCCACTTTACCATGCCAAGAATATTTCTATAAATATATCTACAAGTATATCTACACAAATCCAGTTGTTTTGAAATCGTGCTGTGACCATAGGTAGATATGGGGGAAGAAAAGAGCACAGGAGAAGCCACAGTACCACAGCCTGTCCCCGTGGCCTTCACCCTGTCCCTGCCCCTGCCCTGTCCACTGGGAGGCCCAGTTTTCCCAGAGGATAGAAATGACCATCCTTGCCGACCTCAGGGTACTTATGCAGATCAAATATACAGGGAAGAACTTCTTAAAACACCATTAACAGGTTTTTTTACTTAAAAAATACACCTGGCTCTTAAACAACCATGGGTTTGAGCTGCATGAGTCCACTTATATGCAGGTTTTTTTTTTTTATAAATACAGCGCAGAACTGTAAATGTATTTTCTCTTCCTTATGATTTATTTCTTAAACTAGGCTCCACTCCCAGCATGGAGCCAAGTGCAGGACTTGAACTCACAAACCTGAGATCAAGATTGGAGCTGAAGCTGAGTCGGACACCCAGCTGACTGAGCCACCCAGGCACCCCTTCCTTACGATTTTCTTAATAATTTCCTTAACTCTCTTTTCTCTAGGTTACGTTCTTATAAGAATATAGCATATAATACATCTACCATGCAAAATATGTGTTAATCGACTCTTTATTATTACTTGTTATTGGTAACACTTTTGGTCAACAGTAGGCTGATTGTATCTGGGGAGTCAAAAGTTATATATGGATTTTCAACTGCACAGGGGTCAGCATCCCTAACCCCTGTGTTGTTCAGTGATTAAATGTCCTTTTACAATTATCCCTGTATCTTACTAGCTGGTTGGAGCTCAGTTATCTCAGCAAACAACTGACCCATCAATATCATACTTGATTCCTGAAATTTTCCTTCTTAGGAAACTTAGTGCCTGGGACTTTATTTGCATTGAGTTAGTAATAACTGCAGTCATTTGTGTGGGGGTGGGGGATTGAAGTGTTTAGTATTTCAGTTAGTAACTGGATGTGTTATTAATTTGGTGTCACATTTTAGTCATTTTCTAAGAGACGCGGCTTATCGGTGTTAGATGTGTGAACAGCCTGCCTTCAGAATGTTGGTTAGGAGCAGACATTTACTTGCCTCTGCTTTTTGTTCCCTGGAAAACAGTGTAAAACTTGCATGAATTTGATTTTCCCAGAGAGCACTGCTTCCCAGGAAACAGGCTGAAGGAACTTTGGAAAAGGTGGTGTCTTCACCCCACTCCTGAGTTAAAGACAAATACTTCAACCACATAATTAAAGTTTTCTTCAAAAAATAGGGGATTGTGAACAGACACTGGCAGGAATCCAAAATTCTAATTTCTGACTATGATTTAATTTCAATTTTAAATAAATCGGTTTTTAATTTAAAAAGAGTGAGCTTCATAACATTAGCAATGATTGCAACATTAAGCCCAGTGTTCACAATCTAGCAATATAAAACATTATTTATATCTGAATCGTAAACAGCCTTTTGAAATGGATTATGGTTTTTCTCCCTATTCTAATACAACCTGGAGGGTACTAAAAAGTGTTGTGTGAAATTAACATTCTGCTGACTTTCGCCTATAAATGAGAAGCGAGCTATTAACATTTGTGTATTTTCATTATGTAAATTGTGTTAACACATGCCCACAAATTGCCACCAGCAATGCAATAATTTTCTCTCAGTGATCATAATGTGTCCAAGTGAGTCATTTTGATTATGACATGCTAATTACATATTGCCTTTTTTCAGATTCAGAAAAACCAGGGATCTTTAATGGTAAGCTTTATGAGTTCAGAAAAAAATTCACTTTTCTTTTTCCTGATGGCTGCTTCCTTTGCATGCTTGAATGCCTTGTTTTAAACTTAGCAAATTGCATTTTGAAGAAAATGCAAACCTTTAACTGCCTGTATTAGATTAGGTACCATTAGAAATAATAGAACATCCTGAGCATCAATGTTTTTATAAGAGTTTGCTGTTGTTGATTAATCTTGCTATATTTTATTGCATTAATGATTTTTTTCTTTCCACTCCACTGTAAAGACATTGCACAGAGGCTAATACTTTTTCCTCTCTTCTTTCCCGTTGCAGCCTCTCCAGCTTCTGCAGTGCATTGTTGATGAGGTGAGGCATCGTCTTATGTGCTTTCACTCCTAAAGTCATTCCTAATGGTGTGGAAAGCTTATATTTTGTTTCCTAATGAAGCACAGTGCCCAACATCCTCGGAGCAAGTTGTGTTGTATGGCTCTGAGCTGTGTTACGTGGACCGGCCTTGTCCGGAGTCCCACTCTCCTGATTCTGGCCCAGAATCCCTGCCCAAACAGATTGTCCCACGGGCTGGTCCTCAGGGGTATCAGAAGCCCTAAAGACAAAACAGGATGATATCAATTCATCCTCTTCTCCCTGGCCAGATGGGGATAGAGCCGGAAATTAAAGTGGTATCATTTTTTTTTCCATAGCAGATATTTAAAGTCATTCCAGTAGGCAAGGGTCAGAGTCGAACAGCAAACATAAGCTGGATAAAATTTGTCTCCCTTGCTTTATTTACCCAAAGCATAGCGGGTGATGAAAATGTTCCAAAGCTCTGGGTCAACAGTTCAGCCTTAACTTCCTAAATAGGCATTTTCCCCAGAATACATTCCTAACTTCTTCTGCTTTTAACTAGAACCCGCACATTTTAAGTCCTTCTACCTCTGATAATCCTTATCCATCGAGTTCCATTGTCCCTTTGCCTTCATGGAGTTAATCTACTGGCATTTCTTTCTCAGTCTACTTTTTTACTCCTTCTTCTGAATTTAAAGTCTTTTTTTCTGTAAATTAGCAGAACACAAGGCTTATAGTACACAATGCTCCCAATTAAGAAAACACTAATGTTTTTTAAAAACTGACTTTCTGGGCTTGGGCTTGCCTACAGGCAATGTTTATTTTTTAAACTTTAATTTTACAATATTTAAAACACTTGTAATGAAGGCGATAAATGATTCAGATAGGAAAGTTTGAAAGAAAAAAAACAAATCGTAATTCATAATTATTCCTCTCAATTAAACATCTGTATAACCAGTTATGAGATTTAGGGGAAAAAATAAAGATCCTCCTAGGAAAAAAACAAACGCGCACACATATCACAATAATAGTAAGAATGGGGCTCTAACATCCTTAATGGTTGCATCCGTCAGTCCATATATCCCCTGCAAGCCATAAACCATGTTAGTGCAAAAATGAAGGCATTGTCCTGAAACAAATGGAGGTCCCATTATCTCAAATATCAGACAGGCCCCCTGGATCTAATAGCTCATCAATATCTTCTGTCATCTTAGATTCCAAAAGCGTCCTATCCCCATCAGAATCCTCCCAATTAAACTGGTTTTCCTGAGGTTCCCCCTCCAGGGTTGCTCAGGGACATTCCCAGGGAAACTTGGCTACCCAGTCAGATGCACAGACTGCTGGGCTCCCTGGACTCCACTGATCTTGCCTGGCCGGGCTCCTGAGCATTAGAACATTCAGGTACAGATACCCCTCACCAGCAATACATGCATTGCTGGTGAGCTAATTTGAAGTTTTTCTGAATCAAACAGATACTTTCATTCCTTATTTAAAGTAGTAATGATCGCTGTTAAATGTAAAATATTTCCACTTGCTTGATTTGGGCAAATCCTGAGACTTTTGAAATTATCCTAAAGAGATGTTCTAAGGCAGGATGGTATGTGGGAAGGATAGTAGCATGTGACTTAAATGGTATGTTTTTCTTTATAGCAGTTCTTCCTCAGTTTAGAGAAAAATATAATGTAGACACCTGTTCCCGTTTATGCAAAAGACATATTAAAAATATCTTCTTCAAGGAAACTTGCTAAATTTACATTGAATTTACTAGAACAAACATAAATTGATCTTGGAACTGAGCTGATGTTCCATGATGAGTATTAGGAAACAATTGGCCAATTGACCTGCCTTATGCAAAGTGCATCCTGGCTTCTAAGAAAGAAAGGATGGTGGGACTGGGGAGGAGGTGTTAATTACTGTGCTTGTCCCATGTTTGTCACATTTCCCATTGCAGTGATACAGTGTTTCTCAAAGGGTAGTCTCAGGACTAACTGCATCAGAATTACCTGAGGCTTTGGTTAAAAATGCAGATTCTTGGACTCAGGTCACTGGATTAGACTTTCTAGGGGTGGAGCCCAGGAATCTACATTTGACCAGCTTCCCAGGTCACTCTGCACATTAAGGTTTGAAAACCTCTTCCATAATGTCTTTCAGGACTAAATCTGCCCTTTTAGATCCCAGAGGGCTATTAACTATCTATCTTCATTTGTACCTGACTTTTAGGCCTTCTATTCCTGCGTGAAAATAACCAGCTAGGATTTGAGCCGTTTTACTCCTTGCGTGTGGGATATGCCCCGTTGTGAGGTGTGTGTCCAATGAAGTGTGTACTGTTGCTGTTAGAGAAAAGTCGGGTCAGAGTTAGGGGCACCACCCCTAAAGGAGCCTAGTTAGGACAAGATGGATGGATGTATTCAGAGTCGTATACAAAAGAGCTGAGTAAAGCCCAGTGTACCATACTTCATTATTGTGTAGATATAGCTTGCCCTCCCAGCATAACCTGGTAAACAGTGAAGAAGTAATAAGACAAGACCAGGTGGGCAGAAGCCAGCCCTAGAACGGCCAGCAATGAATGTCAGAGCCAGTCCGGGAGTCAGGAAGTAGAATCGTGGAACAAAGCCACAGCTAGCTACCAGATGTCCAAATGGAAGACACCAAAAGTTAAACAGGAGTAAGAATCCTGAATGTGAAATCTGGACTGTGGATCAGGACCTGGAAGGATAGATAATCAAGGCAACGAGAGAATCCAGCTCCAGTCAGAAATCAGGGCAATCCAGTTTAATTTTGGTGGGTAGAGTTTACGTGGCTTGGAACTGGCTAACTCAGGATATGCCTGATATCCTAATGATAGTGTTGATGCCTCAGACTTGCTTCTCTCAAAAGAACTTCTTCCTTTAAAATTCTTATGTAATTGGGCCCTCTCCAGTTCCTGAATACCTGTGGTGTGAAGTGCTTGATTAATTGTTAAGTGATAAGTGTCTCTGGGTATGCCACGGTGCCTTAGCCATCCGATATCTTTGGGGAATAAGATGGCCCCTATTGTCCAGATAACTGAGATTTACCACTTGAAGCTCTGACATCAATGAGAAATTTTCATTTTTAGAAAGAAGTGTTTCTAAAATGTATTTGCTCTTGGCAGCCTGTTGACAGTGTGTAATGAATATCATTTAACCTTTTCTTGATGACTCAGGTCCTTGTTTTGAACATGATACTGAGCTAAACTTTGATGTATTGATGCCCTCTGGGGTTATAAAATTGTGTGGGGCTTACCTTATTCTTCCACTGAATTTTACCAACCCTTTTGCCTGTGTTTGGCCTTGGCACTCAATAATATGTCTGGGCCTCTTGAGGTGTGTAGAGCCGTTTATTCCCAGGCTAAATAGCCCTACATGGCTGTGCTGCTCTGCTTGGTACTCTCCTGTGCTCTGTCTTGTGATCATCCCTGCTTTCTTTGGTCACTCTTCATTCTCGACAGTGACCACCTGCTGCCCCCGTGATCTGACCATCTGTCTTCAGTCTTTGCACTCCTGATAGTGACCCTAGTAAAACTAGCAGGTGCCAAATGAAGTCAGAAACCCAAGTGGTATGTGTAAGGTCAGAGCTCATCTGAGAAGGAAGATAGAGGCTTGTGCCTCTCTTTAATGAAGTAAAATGGGTGGGCTCGCATGCATTCATTCAGCAAATAGTTATCAAAAGTTCCTGCTGTTTGATAGCCCAAGTTGAGCAGACCATGGTGGGGACAGCCTCCAAGCCTAGAGAGCACAGGGCTTCCAGGCCAGCTGTAGACTAGCTGTGTAAGTCACGGTAGAAAGGCAGAAGCACAGTCCCGCGTCCAGAGCCAATACGATGTGCTGGGACTCAGGAAGCTACTTATCCATCCAACACTCTCCCTGGTGCCTAGGGTTCTAGCTTGGCTGGCAACAAAGGACTGGCCACAATGGTGATGCGGCAGGTATGAATACAGCAATGATTTCTGGGTCACCAAATCCCACGCTAGCTGGAGCCCACTAGTGGAGGCCATCAGTGGATTGAGGTGCTGGGAACTGCAAAGATGGAGGCAAGGACGTCACTCTTGAGCCTGCCCCTAAGTAATTCACAGACATGAAAAAGATGTCTGTGGACACAGAAATGAATAGTATGGCTCAGTGTAGGGTGCGTCTGTAGAACCCAGAGACAGGAGAGTTTGTCCTGGGGGTGATAAGGAGAGGCCCTCCCCAGGGTAGGTGGCATTTAAGCTAGGTCTTAAAAAGAATGAGTAGGAGCTTCCCAGGTCAAGAAAAGAGAAAAGTAAATGTTAGGCAGAAATCCTTTTCGTGAATCATTTTTAAGTTCACATATGTGTTTCAGAATGTTCAGGCTGTCTAAAATATGACAACCAGAAAAATGGATTATTACTTTCAGTATATATATGTTTCAAACATATTACAACTAAAAATAAATTTCTACCTAACATCTGTAGGTACTCAGGAAGACAATTAGCAAATCCCTAATTTAGACTTCTGTTTATTTACTTTACTAGGAAAAAGTGAATTCTTTTAAGTCATCTTTATACCCAGTCAGAAATATCTTCTACCTTAAAATGTTGATTTTTTTTAGAACTGCAAGGCCAACAGACACACGAAAAGATGCTCAACATCACTAATCGTCAGGGAAATACAAACCAAAACCACAATGAGTTTTCACCTCACACCTGTCAGAATGGCTGGAATCAAAAAGACTAGAAATAACAAGTGTTGGCGAGGATGTGGAGAAAAAGGAACCCTCGTGCACTGTTGGTGGGAATGTAACTTGGTGCAGCCACTGTCGAAAACTGTATGGAGGTTCGTCAGAAATTTAAAAATAGAAATACAATACGATCCACTAGTTCCACTACTGGGTATTTACCCAAAGAAAACAGAAACACTAATTTGAAAAGATATGTGCGCCTCTATGTTCATTGCAGCATTATTTATTATAGCAAAGATATGGAAGAACCCAAGTGTCCACTGATAGATAAATAGGTAAAGATGTGTGTACACACACACACA